GGTGGCTTTCTTCCAGTCCTCCGGCACCTCCCCCGTTCTCCAGGACCTTCCGAAGATGATGGCGAGCGGCTTGGCTAGGACATCYGCCAGTTCCCGCAACACTCTGGGGTGCATCCCATCAGGGCCCATGGATTTGTGGGTGTCCAGTTTCCTTAGGTGCTCTCTRACCCACTCTTCCTCTACCCAGGGCAAGCCTTCCTCTCTCCAGCTCTCTCCTTGTGTCCCTAGGGCCTGCGATTCTAGAGGGCTGCCCCTGACAAACACAGAAGCAAAGGCAGCATTCAGCAGCTCTGCGTTCTCCRTGTTTTCCGTAACCAGGGTACCCAGCCCGTTCACTAGTGGACCCACGTTCTCCCTGACCTTCCTTTTGTTGTTAATATAGTTGCAGAAGTTTCTCTTGTTACTCTTAACATCCCTTGCCAGATTTAATTCCAAATGAGCCTTGGCTTCCCTTGTAGCATCCCTGCATTCCCTGACAACGTTCCTGTATTTCTCCCAAGGGGCCTCTCCTTTCTTCCACATTYTRTRTACTGCTTTYTTCTGCTGGAGATTTGCCAGGAGCTCCCTGCTCATCCACGCAGGTCTCCTGCCCCCTCTGCCTGACTTCTTGCGCACAGGGATGCACTGTTGCTGGGCACGGAGGAAACGTTGCTCGAAAACTGACCACCTCTCCTGGGCCCCTCTTCCTTCTAGAGCCCTAGCCCATGGGATCTTTCCCAGCAGGAGCTCACCACCCGCTCATCATTCACTCCCAGGCTGAGATCGATGCATTCCCGTTGCTCTCTCACATACAGAGCAACTCCACCACCTCACCTTCCCAAACTGTCCGTCCTGAAGAGCACATAGCCCTCCATGACAGCGCTCCAGTCATTAGAGCTGTCCCACCACGTTTCTGTGATTCCTATGAGATCGTGGTGCTGGGACCGCACACACATCTCCAGCTCRTCTTGCTTATTCCCCATGCTTGGCACATTGGTGTATAAGCACTTCAGGGAGGTAATCGAGCCTGAACTTTTCCCAGGAGGCGTGAGAGAAGACCCTCTATAATCACGTCCTACCCGKACTTCCCCACTACCATAGGCCTYTTGGACGACCATTGACTTAGGTTGTATGGGATGGATTGCCCAGTCCATAYGACACTCCCCTTCCCGCTTCTTGCTCAGTTTAAAGCTCTCCTAACKAGATTGGCAAGTCTTTTGGCAAACACAAAAGAACGTTTCCAGCAGGAACTCCCCGTTTGTAGTCCATCCAGCAGCAGAAAATCTGTCTATCTCAGTACGGGAGGGAGAAGGGTGTAAATCAGTTTCCTCCCTAGAACTCTTCCTTCCTGTGTCAACTTGTGCTTGCCTTTGCTTGGGCTACTTTTTTGACTGGGGACGATGTCCTGGAAGGACTTCTAGTGTCTCCCTATTCCACCCTTTGGCCTCACAGCTCAGGATTTCACACTCCAATAGGGAAGGCAGCTCTGTGCTCCTGCTCTGAGTTATTCTGCCGGCCTAAACAGGGCAGGGATGTTCTAAACAGTTTCATGCTGGTGGAGTGTGTGTGTTCAGTTGTTCAATGGTTCCGTGGAATGTTTTCATGTGTATAAACGCAACACTGGTCAGGAGTGCTGCTGGGCTCTGCTCCCTCCCGGAGCCCTGCAGTCTGCACACAGAGCACTGGGGGTGACAGGGCCCTGGAAGAGGCTGCCAGAGAGGTTGTGGAGCCTCCTTCTCTGGAGACCTCCAACAGGYGCCCGCATGCGGCTCTGTGCCCCGTGCTCGGGCTGTCCCTGCTGGAGCAGGGCGGTTGCACTAGATGGTCTCGAGAGGTCCCTTCCACCCGCACGCACTCTGTGTGTCCCATCTGCCAGGGGCTGCAGAAGCCGCTTCTGAYGCGCCCTCCTGACCGTGTTCTCCTTCCCCAGACTCTGCAGATGTGCAGGCTGCTGCTGCCGGCGCMCGAGGCCAGCCTGAGCAGCGTGAGTGCYGCTCGCAGCCCTCCGCGGCGCCWCCCTGGGCTGCTCTCCCCTTGCCCAGCGCCACGTGCCGGGGAGGGGGATTCCTGGCAGGGGGCACCGGGAGCTGCCACGCGGCGGGGACACCCGCGCTGACGCCGCCACCAAGGCTGCTTCTCCCTTGCAGGCTCCCAAGAGGGCCCGGAGGCCCAAGGCGGACGCTGGCSCAGAGCGGCTCCAGGCRAGCGGGRCCCTCGGGACACAGGTATCATGGGCACGGGGCAGCMMAGCCCCCTGCCCGCCCTGTGYCRGCCCCACAAGCGCTGCTCCTTGTCCCCCTCCCCACGGCCTCCCGCCGCCCACACTGGCCCCACTGCTCCCCGCAGGCCTGTGCAGCCCCAGTGCCCTGGGCTCCTCCTGCCGCCCTTGAGGACTGCCGGCCCGCGGCAAGACGCAAGATGCGGAGCGCGCGCGGCCACTACCAGGCCAAGGAGGACGAGCAGGTGAGGAGAGCCCCTGTGCAGCCCCTGGGCGCCCACGGGGCTCGCGGCCTCCGCGGCCCTTCCCTGGAGC